GCCACGTACTGTAGCCAAAATTAGCAAAGGGTCACATACAAGTAATTAAAGATTACCTAAAGATAGCAGATCTGAAGCTAAATGTAGTAAAAAATTACCTAAAAGTAGCAGAATTGTAGCTAAAAATAGCAAAAGGCTACATAAATGTAGCAGAACTGTAGCAAAAAGCTAAAAGTAGCAAAAGATAAGCTAAAAGAAGCAGCAACATAAACTAAAGCATGTACCACAAAGAAGTATGGTTTTGAATTGAAGTCATCTGAATGCAAATGTTTTGTGGAACGTCTCCTAATGATGTGGACAGAGATTTTAATGCTTTACACCAAACTAATCTTCAGCTGTAACATGTGTAATTTAATCTAGACCTGAACTTTAATTTAGTTTTTCAGATTATATGATTATCAAATTAATTTTGTCTCAGTATTCTATTTGTTTCTCTCCAGGGTGGCATGTACGTCTTCCAGCTCTTTGATTACTACGCAGCGAGCGGCATGTGTCTCCTCTTCATGTCCATCTTTGAGACCGTCTGCATCGCCTGGGTTTACGGTAAGCAAGCAGTAATTTGTCAGATTAGACGCTGCATGTGTTGAGATGTTTAAAGCACGGGGTGGTAAGGTGTGCCTGTGTGCATCACAGGTGCGGACCGCTTTTACGACAACATTGAAGACATGATTGGCTACCGCCCGGGACCCTATATCAAGTACTGCTGGTTGTTCTTCACTCCAGCAACGTGCATTGTGAGCATCAACAGAATAATTATAACCGCAGCTGTTTATCCTCTTGTGGTTTTGCCTGTTTAATTACAGGAATTACTGGTGGTTACTAACTGAGATGTTTTGTTTCCTCAGGGAACCTTTGCCTTCTCCCTCATTAAATATACCCCTCTTAAGTACAATAATGAGTATGTGTACCCATGGTGGGGTTATGTCATCGGTTGGCTGCTGGCTCTCTCTTCTATGGTCTGCATCCCGTTCTGGATGGTTTTTAAGCTCAGCACAACCCAGGGAACTCTCAGAGAGGTCAGTGTTTAAGAATGTGAATTTGTGTCAATCACATTGTGCAATTCTAAAAAAAGAATAATAATTATTTCCCACAGCGAATCCAAATGCTCATCACACCGTCCGATGATTTACCCAAAACCAAGAGGGAGCAGGAGAGACTGCTGGTCATCTTTGCTCCTGACGGAGACACCGCCAGAACCGTAAACAGCTACTTCCCTGCCTCAGAAAAAGACTCCAATGTTTAAAACACCTTCGAGGGCGTTAACGTACCTGCATGGGTTTCTAAAGATAACCAGAAAATGCCCCAACATCTACTTTAATGTAGAAGTTGACTAAAAAAAAAGAGACTCAGAACATTGAGCCTACTGAAATAACTGCATTTTTCAGGTAAATCACTCCTCCCAATCAAATTTGACAGCTCAATTGGACCTCATTTGTACTGTGTATAAAATATTTGTGTGTAACACAAAAAATAATAGTACCCAATTTGAATCACATCTGTAAGATATTATGGGATTTACTAATATGTTGTTTTTTAGTCGACGCAAATAAATGAAAATATCCAGCGGGTAAAATAAGTATTGAACACGTCACCATTTTTCACAGTAAATATATTACTAGAGGTGCTAATGACATGAAATTTTCACCAGATGTTGGTAACAACCCAAGTGATCCATACATACAAAGAAATCAAACCATAAATGTCCAGAAATKAAGTTATTTGTAATAATGTGGAATGGCACAGGGAAAAAGTATTGAACACATGAAGAAAGGGAGGTGTGAAAAGGCATGGAAAGCCAAGACACCAGCTGAACTCTCTCAGTAATTAGAAAACAAGCCTGCCCCTTGTCAGTGCAAGTTAATATCAGCTGGTTCAGTCCCAAATGATGGCCAGGTATCACACAAGAAMCATCTGATGATGGGTAAAAGTAAAGAGCTCTCTCAAGACCTTCACAACCTTATTGTTGCAAAGCATAATGATGGCATCGGTTACAGAAGAATGTCTAAACTTCTGAAGGTTCCAGTGAGCACTGTTGGAGCCATAATTCGGAAGTGGAAAGAACATYATTTCACCATAAACCGACCACGACCAGGTGCTCCTCACAAGATTTCTGACAGAGGAGTGAAAAGAATTATCAGAAGAGTTGTCCAAGAGCCAAGGACCACTTGTGGAGAGCTTCAGAAAGACCTGGAATTAGCAGGTACGATTGTTTCAAAGAAAACAATAAGTAATGCACTGAACCACCATGGCCTGTATGCACGCTCACCACGCAAGACTCCACTGCTGAAGAAACAGCATGTTGAAGCTCCTTTAAAGTTTGCTGCACAACATTTAAACAAGCCTGTGTAATACTGGGAGAATATAGTCTGGTCAGATGAGACCAACATTGAACTGTTTGGATGCCAGAATACACATCATGTTTGGAGGTCAAATGGCACTGCACATCAGCCCAAAAACACCATACCAACAGTGAAGTTTGGAGGTGGGAACATCATGGTGTGGGGCTGTTTTTCAGCATATGGTACTGGCAAACTTCAAATAATTGAAGGAAGGATGAGTGGGAAAATGTACAGAGACATTCGTGATAAAAATCTGCTTCCATCTACCAGGATGATGAAGATGAAACGTGGCTGGACATTTCAGCAAGACAATGAGCCCAAACACAAAGCCAAGGAAACTCTCAGTTGGTTTCAGAGAAAGAAACTAAAGCTGCTGGAATGGCCCAGCCAATCACCTGACCTGAATCCAACAGAAAATCTATGGAAAGAACTAAAGATCAGAGTTCATAGAAGAGGTCCACGAAACCTTCAAGATTTGAAGACTGTTTGTGTGGAAGAATGGGCCAAAATCACACCTGAGCAATGCATGCCACTAGTTTCTCCATACAGGAGGCATCTTTTTCTTTGTATGTATGGATCACTTGGGTTGTTACCGACATCTGGTGAAAATTTCATGTCATTAGCACCTCTAGTAATATATTTACTGAGAAAAATGGTGACGTGTTCAATACTTATTTTACCCGCTGTATATAGCAGGTTACACAAAACTAGTGTGATTTATAAATTGTTTCATTTTTATATATGACTGTACAAAGAAATGTGGATCTTGTATGTATGGTTTTAAATAAATTTTGTTGACTTGCTCTTGACTAATGATTTTTGCACTGAATCACAGTATTTGTTAAAATAACGTGTATGGTGCTCAGTTGATGCCAATTGGGGTTTTTCGTTTTTGTTTTCCACCCCATACCTAGTCCTAATTGATGCATAGAACTGTAGATTTGGCTCAGTGTTCGATGACCCCAGATCCAAATATTGCTCTAATTTAACGCTAATTTATTACCCTTGTTTCACAGCTGGTGTTGTATGTACTTTTGTTTCCTTGGTTAAATGAATCAACTCAGCTCCACATCTTAAACACAGCTCAAAATAGAACCAAATGCAAATAGACACCGTGTGTTGTTGCAATTGATGGGAAAGATTTTTCTTTTATTTTGATATCTGTCACTTGCTAGGCTCCTATAAAAGCCCTTTTCTGCCACTAAAAATAAATTGTAAAATGGTATGTCATGATTATGATTTTGTTTCTCTTATTTATGATTTAAAACTCTTGCCTATGACTTTAAAACACATAGATATGACATACCAATATAGGTTTTCAAAGAGCTAGGTATTATTTTTATTTTCACCTCTCCATGCCCCGCCTCGGCGCTTCTGATTGGCTGTCACCGGGAGCGTCATTTCGGACGTGCCTCCGTGACGCTGCACGTTTTTCCCACCATGCAATGTCCGAGTAAAGATGGCCGAAGGAGGAGCGGCTGATCTGGATACTCAGAGAGGAGAGGTCGCGGCACTGTTGAAAACACAGCTAAGAAAGGGAGACACTTGGTAAGACTTGATCTGAAATATCTTTAAGAAGGCCCCGCGGCCGCTGACCCGCTCCGCCGGGGCTGACAATGTCAAAAATGTTAGGAAAAGCCGAGGGGACGGGCCGTGTTGACAGTGTGTTAGTGGTGGCTAACGAGAGCCTGTCAGTGTCAGCTAAAGGCTCGCTGCTACTCTTAAATGAAGAACCGCTTTTGAATCGTTTAAATCACACATTTAAGTTATAATAGTGAGCATTCACATATTATTTTGCTGTTCATTTGAGAACATGAGCTCAGCGAGACTAAGTTCTCATTTAGCTAAGTAGCGAGCTAACAGCTAGCTCGTTAGCAAGCGTTGCTTCAAGTGGTTCAGTGCGTGAAATCGCCTGGCTGTCGACTTTATTCGGGCGGAGTCGGAAAAACAACTGTCAGAATCTCAAAGCCAGCTGGCTGGGCTTGTGTCAACCCGAAATCAACACGGTGACAACATATCTGTACTGTTAACATTATCGGTTTGTTTCTCGGGCTGTGTTTGGGAAATCTTAAAATAACTGCAGCAATCAACTACTGATAAGTCCTATTTTATTTATTTTTTTTGTTCAGGTATTTAGTGGACAGTCGCTGGTTCAAACAGTGGAAGAAATATGTGGGATTTGACAGCTGGGACAAATACCAGATGGGTGACCAGAATGTTTACCCAGGACTGGTGGACAACTCCGGCCTTCTCAAAGGTGAGACAAGAAGGCAGACAGACCTGATTTAGGACAAAACACAGAGCAAGTCGCATTGTTTTCATATTAGTTAACAACATCCAGAGTTTCCAATGAAAAATGTGACATTTTGTCACGTAAATAGGCATAATTTCCATGAAACTTTCAGCAAAACGTATTTACGAATAGAATAGAATAGAATAGAATAGAATAGAATAGAATAGAAATAGCCTTTATTGTCCCGCCGAGGGGAAATTCAGATGTCACAGCAGCATCATTAGAGGTTCGCACACTACTTACTTTTCCAACAATAGATAGTACACACAAAACCAAAATTAACACAGACTAGCCATGATAACAAATACTTATAATAAAATATAATATAAAGAATTGTGCAAGAATAGAAAACAATGTTGAAAACGATGTTTTATTATGTTCCAAAAATATTGAAGTATTCAAATATTTTAATGTATGCTGATGATACTGTTCTTTTTTTGTCTGATTTCAATATTGAATCTATTAATAGTCAGTTACAAGCAGATCTTCATACATTTCATGGTTGGCTTCAAGATAATCTTTTGTCAATTAATGTTAAAAAAACTGTGTGCATGTATTTTTCCTCACCCAGGAGACATTTCAATATAACAAATCAACTCACTTTTTTAAACAAACCCCTTGATATTGTCACTACCTACAAATATCTTGGAATTACTTTGGATTCTCATTTGACTTATCGTGATCATGTACAAGTCTTAACCACTAAGTTGAAACAGAAATTATACGTTTATTCAAAAATTAGATCCAATCTGACATCTTCTGTTTCAAATATCTATCTTCATGCCATTATACTCTCAACCATGTCGTACTGTTTACCTGTTTGGTCTCTTACAACAAAAGAAATCTTAGAACCCATAGTTAGGCTCTACAACACGGCCTACAAAATTCATAAAAAATTTCCTGGTTGGACTCATCACTGTACAGTTCTTTCATTGTCTGATGCCTTGACTTTTCAGAATTATGTTTTGTATAGTGGTATTAATTCATATTTTCAGATCTTCCAAGGTGCCAATTATGGAACTCTCTGTGCATTGTTGCCCAAATCAAATTCTGGAAGTGGTCATTCAACTAGATCTGTTACAAAAGGACAACTGATATTACCAACTTTTAAAAACTGTTACGGCCAGAGGTCTTTCTTCTATGTTTATACTAAAGCATGGAATGACATTCCTCAAAACATAAAGTCCATTTCAAAACTACAGCCCTTTAAGAAGAATCTTGTCTGCCATCTGCTGGACACAATTTGTTGTGCTCATATTTAGACGTCCTATTTTGCAAATGCTGCCTTCCTGAAATTTGGTATGCTTGTTTGTCTTTGTGTCTATGGTGTATAATGATGTGATTGTGATGCTGTAATTCTGAGTGTTTTATGTGATGCAGAACAGGAACCTGCTGTAAAACGGCAATTATGCTGAGTCAGGCTTGATTTTTAATAATCTTTTCCTGTTGAATCAATAAATCAAATCAATGTTTATTATTAAAATGATTTTTCAGTGTTTAGAAGCAGTTAACATAATATTAATCTGTACATTTATATTAACTATTCAAATATATATATTTACATAGATACATTTATTCAGGTATGTGTATATAAGTGGATACAAATGTACATTTGTTCTTCATACAGTCATATACAAGTTTATAGTTATTTCTACTCTCAATTTCTGGATTGCTGTTGTAGAAATGTTTATTTTGTGTGGGTTATTGACTGCATTATTTTATATTGCCATACTATAGCAGTTTATATTGTACTTTAATATATATATATATGCTGTATATATACTGTAAATAAGTAGTACAAAATAAACTGCTCCATCAAACATTTAAATTAGGTAATTTAATAAGTTCCTTTGCGTCTTCAGAGTAATCAGTCATGTTTTTGTTGCCACAAGTTTTTTTATTGACCTTTTTTTATCGACAAAGATTCCTATTATTATTATAACCCGATAACTAATAAAAAATAGTTATTTTTTTTTAGAAAATGGCCCTTCCAGGCAGGAAAATAACAATTTTATGGGTTGGATTGAAGATTACTGCTGAGTCTTTACATATAATAACAAGCCTAACGTATTAATTTAGGCTTCTCTCAGTTATTTATACAATTTTATTATTTAATATTGTCTCAGATTTTGCTTTAGTTGCTGACATTTACTGCAGTGAAAACATTTGGTTGAAACTAACAGGAACTCTCAGATTTTTTTTACATTTTATTGGCTAAATTGCAGTGAGGATCTTTCAAGATTAACGTGGAAGCTTTGGATTATAATTGTGTCTGTGTGGAGTTTAATTTTTCTGGAAGTACTGACAAAGACTTTAGAAAAATAGACACAAAGACACAACATTGTCTACAGCTGGATAGGGTTCATAGAAAGCTCTCCAGCATACCTTTTTTTTTTGTTCTTTGTGTGTTTTGTATTGTCTGAGTAAGCACAGCATCCGTGGTGAATTTGCTTTCTTTCCCGTGTGTTTCTCACCCTTTGCTTTGTCTCTTTAGATGGGGACGTGTTGGCCATCAAGGAGCACCTCATCGATGAGCTGGACTACATCCTGGTTCCAACAGAAGGCTGGAACAAGCTCGTCAGCTGGTATGGACTGACAGAAGGCCAGGAGCCAATCGCACGCAAGGTAAGATAAAAGGATTTCATCAGAACCTGTCTTCTGACTAATAGCTGGTTTTTGCTTTAAAATGTATTTTATTTAAAATAAAATAACACATTGATTTTCATTTATATGGACAGCTAGATTGTGTAGAGAATCAGGATGTTTATAGGACGAAAATAGTCAATTTTGTCATGTTTACACAAGTTCTGGATGAAAGATTGATTTTAGGGGAGTTTGCTGATATGATGGCTCCCACAGTATTATGTTCTCTGCTTCAAATTTTGCTAATCATGGCATCATGGCAGCTGGAGGAGTTTCCTCCATCATCCTCCCTGTCGCTTCCTTCCCATTGACCCTCCCTCTTTTGCCATGTATGTCGTGGCACGTATCGGGTGGCGGCGGGGGGTTTCTATTTTCAGGCAATGTTCTGGCTGGCTTTAAAGCTACATGGAGGGGTCTACAAGGCACAACATGCGAGAGGTTCATTATTAGTTTTCTTCTTCTTTTTGCGTTTATTTTATTATCCTGCGCTGCAGGAGAGCACAGGAGGCCGAAAGGGCTTCAGGAGGGCTGTTGTCGAAAGGTTTGGAGCGGCGGTTTCTCTCGGTGCAGCCGCTAACACCGGTGGAGCGCTCCTGGCTGCGTCCTTGTTTTTTTTTTTTTTTTTTTTTTAAAGCAGAAGCATTCCTGTTGAGGTCACTCTGAGAGTAGCAGCGTGAAAAAGCTTCGGAGAGGAGAGGCAAAACCAGTATGGGAGGAGGACTGGGGTGGGTGGGGTGAATTAGTTGGAAGTTGGGTCGCTGAGGTTTGCTCTGAGCTTCCAAACCCCTCTGAGGAGTTGGGGAGCGCCGGAGGAGAGCCTTAGCTGTGTCATTTGTGAAATCAATGCGGTGTGTGTGTGTGTGTATGCAAGCGTGTGTGTCGGAGGGGCTCAGCGGTGAAATAAATAGTCTCAAACCCCTCAGCTGTTTCCGTGAGGTGTTGCTAAATTAGGAACGTCACTTTGACTGAATCTGTCAGGACTTGATGAGTAGCAGCCAGGGCAGCAGAGTTTACTTTCTTTGTATAAAACAGCTAGACTAATTAATAAATACTTAAAATATTTTAATTAAATTTATTTAGTAAAAGCGTTTATTTAGTTTTGGACTCCTGTCATGCTTTTAATTCAAACTAGTTGCATCAAGTTTTCATTTGGAGTGTAGCGGTATACGAAGATAGAGCTTAGAAATGTTCCAACATAGACAAATAAAGATTGTATTCACTGATGTTTTTGCAGGTGGTGGAGCAGGGTATGTTTGTGAAGCACTGTAAGGTGGAGGTGTACCTGACGGAGCTGAAGCTTTGTGAAGACAGCAACATGGACAACGTGATCACCAGGCGCTTCAGTAAAGCTGACACAATAGGTAACCATCAGCTTCAAAACTGCTCGTCTTCCAAGCAGTTGTGTTGTTGTTCATCATGAGGGTTTTAACGTTGAACTCTTTGGATGTTTACACGGGTTGTATTTTGAGAGGGTGTCTTTATATTTCTTTTGCTTTTTTCCTACTTTGTTGCTTTACAACACAAGAAATAGGACAGAGACAACCTTCATGTTTATAAGTGTTAACTCGTAAAAGTCTGTTTTGTAATCCCGTAAGTTTACAACAGTTGAGTTTCACCTTTTTTGTGGTGCGAGCTTGGCACATAAAGCTCTGGGTTTTATGGGTGTTGTTTTTTTAATGTGTGAGTTTACCACCATCCACAATTTTTTAAAACATTGACTCATTTCTAAGATCATGCCAGTGATAAATATCACTACGTCATGTTGCTGCCACCATGCTTCACTGAGGGAGTTATATTCTCTGTGGGACGAGTTTTATATTATCTTTGTGAGCCCAAATTGTAATTTTTAGTCTCATTTGAATAGAGGAAGCCAAATATTTAAATAGAATCTTGTTTCTTAAAGTATTCAGGAAAGAAAGGCCAGTTTGTTTCATTTCTTTCTTATTACCGTATTTATCTTCTTGACTGTTTTTGTTTTTACTGATCAGCTCTTTACTAGCAGGTTTATTTCCAGGTGCTCTGTTGGGTATTAACAGCAGTGTTGTATAAAGTACCACAAAGTGATACTTGAGTGAAAGTACAATTATCTTACCAAAAACTTACTTTGGTAAAAGTTAAAGTCTCCTTTAGGAATACTGAGTAAAAGTCTTAAAGTATCTGATATTTTTTTGTACTTAAGTATTAAAAGTAAAAGTATTGATTTAAAATGAGCAGGTACATTTTCTGTAAGGACATTTATTAGGAGGTGACCTCCCCAAAAACTGCAGAAATGACTGCCAAATTAATAATATAATTCATAATACTGAGCTGCATCAGGACAATATAATCCATGAAATACAAATACTTCTTAAGTACAGTCCTTTTATTTTTAATGATTATGTCCTGCTGGGGTGGGACATGGTTTGTTTGTGTACAAACTAATACGTATCAGAATTTTATATATTTATACTTCTCATTCAACCACAATTAAATTCACTCTATCTAGGAGGCACAATTTATATGGATAGTATTTATTTTTTACAATAACAAGCTGCAATGAAAACAAGCAAATAGGGTTGCAGCTAACGATTATTTTAATAATCGATTAATCTGTTGATTTATTTTTTTCGATTAATCGGCCAAATCATTAAAACACTTAATTACATAAATGTAAGTAGGTAGTTATACATTAATTTAATTTCAGCAAGTTTATGATTAATGTGAAGTTGTCTGAAGTTGATTTATCTCATAGATTGACTAATGATTAATTGATAAGCGGCCATTTTCTTAAAAACCAGAGTTTCATATTGAATCAAGAGTGTCTTTTCATAAAACGAAGGATTTTTTAAATAATATGCTAAATTTAAAAAAAGAAGCACATCATACTGTATATATTTTCACAATTGATTTTGCCAACCGTATTAAACACTGATTGGAAAAAAAAACAAAAATTTGGATTTCTTATTCATTAATAAACTTGGTTATAGCTATAAAACATAACAAAACTGAAATTTAATAGGTTGCTGAATGAGGGAAAACAGATAAAAAGAACAAAACATGATTTTTAGATGTAAAACTATTATTAATTTATTRTTATAATTACAATTTATTTGCATTTAGAATTTATGATTTACTTAACTATGAATTTGTGACAAAAAACACAAACTACACACGTTCATGCAACAAAAACATGACAAGGCAGATAAATATTTTTGCTTTAGTAAATTAGGAGCAAACTTTATTTAGACTCTATTTTGTCGTGATGATGATGTAACCCTGTTCTGAAAACGATCCAGTGCTTGTTGCTGTTCATTTTACTTTGTGTCCTCCATAAGTATTTGTGTCAGTTATATTTTTCTTATGGCTGCAGATATGATAGAGAAAGAAATGAGGAAGCTGTTCAGCATCCCTGATGACAAGGAGACCAGACTGTGGAACAGGTACATGAGCAACACCTTCGAGCCTCTCAACAAACCGGACAGCACCATTCAAGACGCCGGCCTCTATCAAGGACAGGTCATAACTTCCCCACTTTTTTTTATCTTTTATTATTAAAGTAGAACTTGTTAGATTTGTAGTTTATTTGATGGTGAGCTCAGTAAAATATAATTCAATGGTGGATATCTTTTTCTGCGTTTTACTTGTTTTTCCTGCTTCAACACACCTGATTTAGTGATTACCTTTATTAGTTCTGCAGAAGCTTTTTAATCACGTTTATTCAAATCAGGTGTGTTGGAGCAGAATACAGTTTCTAATATCACAGCAGGTTGACTCAAAAGCTACATTGTAACTGACCAAATCTTTCAGTACAATAAGATAACATGACTGAATTATTTAAATAACTTAGGATTATAATTATTTGAGTTTAGTTCTCTAAAAGTCAAACAAATAGCTGCTTATAACTTGAATATATTAGATGACTCTGAATCAAAGAGCACTGGCTACTGAAATACAAGTTAACTGGAATGGCCAATCGCAGCACAATCAATGCTAATGATGTGATAGTCTGTGCCGCCATCTTGGTAGGTTCTACGTGAGCAGCTTTAAACAGATCATGAATTTCTGATGAGATTAAAGAAAAAAGCTCAAATTTTTGCTAATATTTGTTATAATGAGCAGAACCGGAACTTCATAAAATTTTGTGTTTTTTTAAAAAAAATCTAATACAATACACTATTTTTCAGGAGTAGTTGCTCTTTCTAAACTAGTCTGCTATAAATGCTGTAAATCAGGGTACTGGGACTGGTTGAATACTAGCTATGTGCAAATTTATCTATATTAAGTACGTTATTTATTCATGTATAATAACTAGAAATTTAATCCTAAAAATCATCCATAAAGTTAGGAGTAGTATTCTACACAGGTTATTGATGTTTAGATTTTTTATGCATTTTTTTTAATCTCAAAAAATCATGATCGTGTTATACTTGAAATCGTATTATACATGAATAAATACAGTAAGTAAAAATAAACTATGTATGCTAAATATTTAATTGGTGTAGAAACTTGACAAAGACTCATTTAATTATTATAAACTTTCAAGCTGACGTTATATAAAACCTAAATATTTCCAGAACTATAAAGAAAAATATGACAAGTTTTAAGTATTAGGGTTAGTGCAGATACTCTACAGCTGCAGTATTTATAGCACCTCTGATTAGACTAAGCATACGTGTAAAAGTAAGTGTGTTCAGCATGCACACGGCCTTGAATTTGACATGTAAATATCACACAGTGATAGGCGGAGCACCTAGCAAGATGGTGGCTACAGATTTCCCCCCCTCACCCTGTCGATGTGCACATTGATTTGAATAACTATTCATTTCATTTGCAAAAAAACCCAACTTTTTTTGGTTTAGCACAACAACTTCTTTTATCTCATGAAGTTTAAGTGTTTAGTTTCTTCAAATCAGCAGAAGCAGACGGAGCCCTGTGTTCTTTTTCCCGCCTCCTGCAGGTTCTCGTAATAGAGCAGAAGAGCCAAGACGGCACGTGGCCCCGAGGCACCATGGCGACCAAGTGAGTTCAGGACACGTGGCTGGGCTTTATTACTTTGTTGACTTTAAGGAGTTGTTCAGCAGAAACTGATTGCCACACTCTGTTAAAGGAGTCCTGCTGATGCACATAGATTAGCTTTAGGCGTTGTTGTATTGAACCGCTGAGGTTTAAAGGATCAAAGGTAAGAATTCCTTTTGTTGAGCAGAGAAACGGTTGAAATCCTGATATTTCACAGCACCGTCTTCCAAAGTTTCCTCTCTGTGACTTTGCCTGCCTCTTCTGCTTGACTCTTTGTTGCAACACATCACTCCGTTTTATTTTAACTCATCTCTGTTTCATTTGATTGGCACACACCTTTTTATTTATTTATTTTTATTTATTTATATTTGGTGAAAGCTCCTTGTTTTCTGCTCTAACTCATGATCTATTCTTTTATCTTTTGAAGGTCATCTGGTGCTTCCAATCTCTCTGCTTTGCCAAAGATCTCGCCTTCATCTCTCACAAACAATCATAACAGCAGCTTCAACAGCAGGAAGTAAGGCCTAGTCGTGGGTTGAACGGCAGATGTGTGGGGTTGAGTTTAGATGTGAAAACCTACAGTGGCGCTCGGGTCTCTGGCTGTAATCCTGATGATGCATTTTCAGCTGAAAGCGCTGATCGCGGGGATGTGGAAGGAGACTAATTAGGACTAATCTCCTTCAGCGGTCTCTTAAAAAGGCCTCCCTGGCACTGTTAAATATCTTACCCAGCGTTTGAACTTATTAGCTGAACCTTAACTAAAATCAGGTCACAGAATTTTATGAATTTTTTTTGTTTGTTTGACAATCTGTGAAAAGACCATTGTTTAATGTTAGAATTAAAACATTTAAATTATAGCAGGATGGAGATGGAGACAAAAGATGAGCTTTGATTTCTTATTTATTTCAAGGCTGAAAACAGAGTGTAAATGTTTATATAGATGGAGCAGGAAGGAGAAAAAGTGAAAAAGATTAAAATACATCTGCGTATCACTAGTTTATATTCGTTAATGTTTATAAGAAAGTGTCTTTAAGCAGTTATGCCGTGTTTTAATCAATAATCTGCTTTAGCGTTAGCAGAAACGTCACAAGATTTAAACAAACACACTGATTTAATAATAATAATAATAATAAAGTCATTTAAACTTATAAGCTTTATTTTTATGAAGTTTTAATAGCCTTCATTTTTGTTTTTTGCAATTTATAAAGCTTGTTGAATAAAAGTCATAGCGTTCCTCGTCTCATTGCTACGGCTGAGCACTGCTAACAACTGAGCTCTATGTGGTATTTCGTGCATAGACACAGCGTTTTAACACATCCCCTTATAAACACTAAAAAGTACCACATGTACGACTGACTAAATGTGAAATAAGTAATACAAAAATACCATTAAAAGTAAACAAAAGCGTTTTACTCACTGTTGAGTTGTGCAAAGTCTTGAATTCTGACCTTTCCAAGAGGGATTTTCCAATCAGCGTGCGTTATGGGAGATGTAGTTTTATGGTCAATGCTGGCTTTAAAGCAGCTGTTGAATTAAACTGATGCAGTTACTTAAAGCCAAGTATTGTTTTTTAGCCTTTTAAATTGGTTTATTTAGTTACATTTTATGGTAAATTAAAAGTTCACCACTGATTTAAAAACTGTTTTCGTGTTAGGGGCCGAACAGAAGTCGTTTGGTTCACAGGCTGTCAGTTTGATGCACATATAAAGTATGCAGAGGTAGTTGGATTGCAAAAAAATCTACAGAAAAGTAAAAAAACAGGAATGCTGACTCAGCATTTTACCTTTTTAGCATTCATAAAGAAAAGCATAACAAACGTTTATGCAACTTAAATATTTTTTTTACTTCAATATTTACTCAGTAGTTATTTAAGGCAGATCTAAGCTCAAATTTTAATAAATCAACTCAGCCCCGTGTGTCAGGTGTTTGTTTTATGTATCGCTGTGGTTGAAACGCAGAAATAAAAGCCACGAGCTAAACCCATTCTAAAAAATAAATCAATATTGATACAATCAGAAAGCATCGATGTGAACTCTGCTTTTTCCTCTCATATTTTCTACTTAAAATCAGACTATAAATCGTCATTTAATGACTTTGTTGTGGGCTGGAGAAACTGTGTCTTCCCTCAGGAGCTCTCCCCCCCCCCCGACTCACTCCACAGTCAGTGCTGTCGTTTTCTTTTAATTATGCATGGGGCCTGTATTTTTCAAACGAAGCGTTCCCGTGTCTTTTGTCGTCTTGTGGTTTCTGTGGTGTCGGTCAGACGCGGGCGGCGCTCTGCATCCCGGCCTCTCTGCCGTGAACTCACAGCCACGCGCATCTTCTGCAGTCCGTGTGACCTTCAAGCATCCGCTCCCTCTGCTCTTTCCTCTTGCCGCCTGACTCTCACCACTCGTGCATACCGATCCCGACACAAAGCCGACTCATCCCTGAGGCGTTTGGTTTTAATTTAGAGCATTTATTTGGCTGGAAAGCGCTGCGTCATAGCGTGCAGTTCGACAGCAAATACGCGAGAAGTTGTGGGGAAACGCGTGTGTCCACGTGCAGCAGAAGATGATTTGTGTGTTTTCAGAGGACGGGTAAGGAGTAGAAAATACCGCAGCTTCAGCTTAATGCAATGAATCAGCTGCTCCCTCCATCCTCATCTCACCCCCCCTCTATTCTCCCTCTCTCCTTCCCTCTCTCTCTGTGCACCTCTAGCTTCAGCAGCATCCTCCCCACTGCTATAAATATCTGCGGGGACCCGTAGAGCGGCAGAGAGCAGGAGGACAGAGGGAGGAGAGGACGAGACGTAGGGGGTTTGAGAGGAAGGCCATCGTTTAGATTTTCTCTTACATGGAATTTACCTGGAGGGGATTCAAACTGCTGCTTAGGTTGGATCGAGCTAAAGTTTGGACTTCTTAATTAATTAATTTATTTATTTTCCTCGCCATCCCGGTCCTAAAAACTTGACTTTGCCTCTGGGGGTTGAGCTCGGCGCGGTCATGTGGGCCGGCGCGGGCTGGGGCGGGGCTGAGATGTCATGCTCCTGTGTTGCTGGTGGTGCCTGAGGCCCGAGGCGGTGGAGCTGGACAGCCGAAGGGTAGACCACCGCGCGCTGAGCTGCGAAACCCCCGCTTCCACCACCATCACGGCGGCATCCTTTGCCCAGTGGGAGCAGGAGCCGACCGACGCCACGCTTTCAGCCTCACAGAGGTCCTCTGATTAATCAAAAAACCTTTCAAGTGTTTAGAAGCTGATGCTCAGAAATTTGGGCGGTTTTAGGATTTTTAAAAAAGTATAGCTGAAATTTTGTTTTTATTAAGCTGTTTTCAACCCTGAGTCATATATGTTTTTGTATATTTGCTGTGCAGTGTGAAGAACTCGAGTTACAGTCTGCCTTCGTACCCGTCGTACTGCAACAGCTATGACTACTCGGACCAGAACCGACAGAGCGAGCGCTCGGGGCTCTGTGGACTCTCCAACCTGGGAAACACCTGCTTCATGAACTCTGCCGTGCAGGTAGCACCCTAACCCCTACCCCTAACAATGTGCGTAGTTTGTCGCTGATTGTTTTTCTTTTTCTTGCTCCTCAGTGTTTAAGCAATATCCCCCCGCTGACGGAGTACTTCCTCAAGGATAAATATAGAGACGAGCTGAATGAAGACAACCCCCTTGGCATGAAGGGGGAGATCGCCAGAGCCTACGCTGAGCTCATCAAGCAGCTGTGGTCGGGAAAATACAGCTACGTCACGCCAAGACCCTTCAAGGTGGAAAACAAATGTCAATCGTGCGTTTTGTTTTGAATAAAATAAGTTGTGTGTTAAATTTCGTAGCTTATAAATCCAGTAAATGTAAGCTAAGTTTTCACAGGGTTCATGCAGGGTCTTAAAAGTCTAAAATTTGAAAATCAAAATTTTAGACCTAAAGTCTTAAAAATAACCAGATTTTCATCCAGGCTCTTAAATTAAATTTTGTCAAGTCTTAATTTTTTTTTTACTTTCGATCATTCCTGAAAAGTGTTGGCTGCATAAATAAACAGTAAAGCACTGTGATTAGAGGTTGATGCGATCTGTGTTCATGAAGGGCTAAGTTTGCTACCGCTCTTTGTACGTGTTAAACCACAAGTCCTGTGATAACTGCAGGCAAAAAACGGCACAGTTTACTTCCATGTTTTCAACCTCGTTGCTGCTACAACCCCCCGCATACGGCGGCTTGTTCATCTGCCCAAAAAACAGACGTTCAGTCATGTCCACTGCTTATGGTTTAAACATGGAAAGTATGTTTTCAATGAGACTGTTGGAAGCGGTCTTCAGCAGTCGATATGACCGTTTCATTAAACTAATTGAGTGTTCTTGTATTAAAATTAAAGGGGCAATATTATGTGTTTCTCAGGCATACATTTAAATACTGTACCATAATAAAGTATCTATGTCACATTTAGCTGTCATTAAAATGCTGTTTTTATGTTTAAATAGAGAATAAACTTATCTTCTCATCACTTCCTCTTCTAAACGCCTTGAAATTGGCCTCTGTCTCTTTAAGAACCACCTTCTGCTTCTGTCCCGCCCATTTCGGTGCGGGGGGGTGGGGTGTTATGATGCAGTTTACTTGGCTGAGTGAGAAGTGTTAGGGAGCTCAGCAGACAGTTTTAAGTTTCACTTTCAGTTTCACCCGAGAGCCTGCAAGAGTCATGGGCGGGGTGTGTGGGGAGGGGGAGGGGGGTGCGCTCTGCCATGAGGAAGTTCAGCTTAAAGACACATCCCAGAGGGGTTTCTGGTCCCAAAAGGCGTTTCTGGTCCCCACCTGTCGTTTTGCTCCTCAGCATGGCTTTCTAAAAACACTGCAGGATTTCTCAAACATGCATGAATGAGTCAGAGCAAGGAGTTGGGCGTGTTTATTTTATGAGAGTATAACATTATAACATGATATAAAACTCAAAAAAGTTGATTTTACATGATATTGCCCCTTTAAATATTCTTTAATAGCTAAATTGATAGCAATAAAATGTTTCCATGTAAAAATTTCTGGGACTTACTGAAACCTGCATGAACCCTGGTTCATTATGCAGACGCAGGTGGGCCGCTTCGCCCCTCAGTTCTCAGGCTACCAGCAGCAGGACTCCCACGAGCTGCTGGCCTTCCTCCTGGACGGCCTTCACGAGGACCTGAACCGCATCAGGAAGAAGCCCTACATCCAACTCAAGGACGCGAATGGACGGCTCGATAAGGTGGGACGAGCGGTCCGTTTTTTAAAAAAATTTTGTTTTATTATTATCTCCGTTGGGTGCGGTGGTACTCAGAGTTCTGGTTTTGTGATCCCGGTCCTGGTTTCAGGTCGTGGCGGAGGAGGCGTGGGAGAACCACATCAAGCGGAACGACTCGATCATCGTGGACATCTTCCACGGCCTTTTCAAGTCCACTCTGGTCTGTCCCGTGTGCGCCAAGGTCTCCGTGACCTTCGACCCTTTCTGCTACCTGACGCTGCCACTGCCCATGAAGAAGGAGCGAACGCTCGAGGTCTACCTGGTCAGGCTGGACCCCCTGGCTAAACCCACGCAGGTAACAGCGTCTCCACCTGAGCCAGTGATGTGATGTTAGATAAATCACTCATCAATAATCCCTCTCTCAGTACAAGCTGACTGTGCCAAAGGTGGGCTACATCTCTGACCTGTGCACGTCCCTCTCCTGCCTGTCTGGGGTCCCTGCTGAGAAGGTAAAACCATTAGTCAGCACTTCTCTCTGCAGTGAGACAGACTGTTTTTAGCCGTGACTCTGTAATATGATGCTCCTCAGAAAGTACAGCTTGACAATCTATTTTAACTGCCGGGGGGGCGGGGCTTTCTCCTGCAGATCAAAGAAGAGGTCAGTGGCAAAAAAAAACAAACCCCAAAACAATTAGTGCGTCTTTAACAGCGACGTTCAAGGCTGTTCTATTGAAACTTCCAGGAAGTAATTATTGGACGTGTATCTGCAGCTGATTGGCTTTGGATATAATCCAATTCAAGATGGCTGACGCAGCTAAATTGTCTGTAGCTCCGTCAGTTTTACAGATATTGAGATAAAACTCGGCGTGGTAGTTGTTGGGGATAATTCCCAACACATACTTTGAGAGGTGTTACGTTTTGCGATGTGAAAAATCAGTTTTCCCAGTTCTGACCTGTCATTTTAAAGGGATCCCTGATTAGTTGTAACATTAGACTTTATTTGATAAACATATATTTTAACTGTAAAGGAAAGACTGTGAAAATACTGTAGGATGTTCAGTTTTTATAACTTTTAAAACTATATTTTAACACGGACTGAGCCATTTTATTTACACGCAAAGCATTCTTGGTAAATGATGACGTAGACAAGCGCGAGGCTGCGACCGAGCTAAATCCAGAATAGAATAGAAACGGCCTTTATTCTCCAGCGTGGGGAAATTCTGGTGTAGTAGCAGCAGCAGACACATACATCAATCCACAAAAAACAGTAAATTGCTATGTGACAATATCAATTGTAGCAATAATAATATAATTAAAAATAGTAACTAAAAAAACAAACATAGATCAAACTAAAAGCAAGCTATCGTGCTAACTCCCTGAAGGTTAATCTTGGACAATATCTGATGATCGACTCTTTTAAATGAAACCAGAGAGCGTTGACAGAGAGGAGAAGGTAGAAATGACTCAGCCTGGAACTGAAAATATGGATGGAGGACAACAGAGCTGCTTCATGGAAGAAGAACCTCAGCTTAGCCTGTTAGCTTTAGCGTTAGCGCTGATGCTATATTGCCTTATACAGTATGTATTAGCTCGGCGCTAGCGCGAAAAACAAACAAGCTAAACCTCGGTTTAGCTTGTTAGCTGTTTAAACTGACTAAACAGCCTACAGTATTTTTAGTCTTTATTTTAGTTAAAATAAATGTTTATCAAATAAATTCTAATGTTACAACTAATCATGGATCCCTTTAAAGGAGACCTATCCTGCAAATTCCACTTTTTTAACAGTTAAATACATTTTGTTTTGTACTTGGAGTTTATAGGAGTGCAGAAAAGTTGAATTTAGCCTCTCCAGGTGCTGCAAAGACATCTTTTATAATCTGTTTGGTTCAGTTTTTTATGTTTTCTATGACGTTTCCTTTCCAGATGATTGTAACCGACATTTACAACCACCGTTTCCACCGAATCTTTGCCACGAACGAGAACCTCAGCAGCATCATGGAGCGGGACGACATTTACGTGTGAGTGTGGAGGCGTGGCCTCACTCCAAACCGTTTTTTTTTTTTTAAACGAGCGGAAGGTTTGAGTGGTTTTTCTCTTCCGTGCAGCTTCGAGGTGGCGGTGAACCGAGTGGAGGACACGGACCACGTGGTGATCCCGGTCCACCTGAGGGAGAAGTACAAGCAGTCGGGTTACAACCACACCAGCACGCCTCTGTTTGGGTTGCCCTTCCTCCTCGCCGTCCCCCGAACGCTGAGCGAAGACAAACTCTACAACATGCTGTTCCTACGGCTCTGGTGGGTTCACGGTTTCTCCGTTCACAGCCCGCGTTTTGAAGATTTAACTAATCGGATTGTTTTTGCAGTGTTGTATAAAGTACCACAAAGTTATACTTGAGTAAAAGCACAATCTTACCAAAAAATTACTTTGGTAAAAGTTAAAGTCTCCTTTAGGAATATTACTTGAGTAAAAGTCTTAAAGTATCTGATGCTTTTTGTACTTAAGTATTAAAAGTAAAAGTATTGATTTAAAATGAGCAGTTAGATTTTCTGTAATGACATTTGTTAGGAGGTGACCTCCCCCCCAAAAATGCAGAAATGACTGTTGTATGTTAAATTTAGGAGCACTAGTCTAGCTGTTTCAGTTTATATACATATATCAAGGCTGCGGGACAAATGCAATAGTATAAATCATGAAATACAAATACTTTTATTTTAATGATTATGTCCTACTGCAGTGTGGCATGATTTGTTTGTGTACAAACTAATACGGTATCAGAATTTTATCTATCTATCTATCTATCTATCTATCTATCTATCTATCTATCTATCTATCTATCTATCTATCTATC